CCCCCCCCCAGTGCTGGGATTAAAGGCGTGTGCCTTTAATCTCAAGCACTCCTGAGGCAGAGGCAGGTGGATCTCCAAAGCGAGTTCCAGGAAAGGCACAAAGCTACACAGAGAAAGAAAACTCTGTCTCAAAAATATATATATATATCTTTGACTTTTAGATTGTATTTAATGCTTCTTCATTAAAGGGTGTCTGTTCTCATATTTTCCTTTAAGATTTTGTGACATATTTAAAATTTTAATGTACATGGAATTTATAGGGTGTATAATGGAAGAAAGATGGAAAATGTTTTCCAAGTAGATAATCTGCGCAAGCATTCTTGCTGTAATAGTTCCCTTTGTCTAAAGTTTGTAGACTTTTTTCACTCTTGTTGCTTGCTTGTTTTGGAAACAGGGCCTTATTATGCAGCACTGGCTAGCCTGGAACTTACTATATAGCCTAGGCTGTCTTTGAGTTTACGATGGTTCTCCTGTTTCAACCTCCTGTGTGCTGAGATTGCAGCCATGCACGCCACATTCAGCTTTCCTTTTCCTGTTCTCTTTTGTTCGAAAGCTGAAGCACTGCGTACTCCTACCTCCCCCCTTTCTGTATCTAAACAGGAAACAGCAGCAGTGAGTACAGGCTGACTTGTCTCCTGTCAGGCAGCGGGCTGATTGCTGTGCGGCACACACTGAAAGCTGTGACACAGTTGGCGACCTCTGGTTATCCCGCTGTGTGTTCTTGTCACATTACTACCCTTTCCTATCAAAAGACAATCAGAGTTCGATTATAAGAAGGACAAAGCCATGTGGTTTTGACCCCTCTTTCAGTAATGAGCAGTAGAGAAAGAACACAGAATCAAAGCTTACAGTGTGGGCTCTCCCACTCTAGTGCATGACATATACCTCAGAGTTAATGTTGCTTAGATTTTAGGGAGAGGTGTTTTGAATGTCATTCAGAACAAATATTTTAAGTATAAAGTCTATAGAGATGGGAACAGTGGAGTTCAAAGCATTTAAGAGGAAAATTATGGTCCTTATTAGTGATAGCCCCAAGCTGATGGAGTAAATGTGGAACAGTCTCAACTGATTGCCAAGCTGGCTTAAGCTTAGACTCATGCATGTACCAAACTGGTGTATTTTTAACTAGTACAAAGAGAAGGCAGTTTAATAAACAACTATTGAATGCATCCTGGGTAAAAGAAAATAGATCATGCATTTTGAAATTCATTCTCCATGTTTACTTTTTTTTTTAATAGGATGTATTTATTTTATCTTCATGTTTCCATTTCTTTTTTTTGTAAAGATTTTATTTTATTTTTTTAATTATGTATACTGCATATATGACAGCAGGCCAGAAGAGGGCACCAGACTCATTACAGATGGTTGTGAGCCACCCTGTGGTTGCTGGGAATTGAACTCAGGACCTCTGGAAGAGCAGTCAGTGCTCTCAACCTCTGAGTCATCTCTCCAGCCCCATGTTTCCATTTCTTTTAAAGATATATTTATTTTATTTTATGTGTGAGTGTTTTGCCTGCATGTACATGCTTGGTGCTCACAGAGGTCAGAAGAGGGCATTGGATCCGTTCGAACTAGACTTTTGGGTGGTTGTGAATCACCGTGTGGGTACTGGGAATCAAAGCTGGGTCCTCTGAGAGCAGCCAGTGCTGTAAAACCCTGAGCAGTCTCTCCATGCCCATGCCGTTGGCTTTTTAGGAGGAACATATATTTGGGGTGATTTACTTACTCTTGCTTGGTCTTTATATATTTCTTCTGAATGAATCACTTGGATTAAAGATGTGGTTTGATTTTAAAAACACAAAAAAGCTAAATCAAAGGCAGAGAATTTAACCTAAAACAGTTGTCATTTTCTATCTAACCAACTAAAGAATCGATGACCAGTCATTTAATCTTGTTGTTAGCTTTGAACATTTGTCACATTTAGATGTCAGTTAATGAAGCAATATCTTAATATCTTTTCTGCTCAGTTCTAATTACGCTAATGTCCTTTGCTATCTGAGATGCTTCTGAATAAGAAATATATATTCACGTTTTTCTAATTCTGTTAGGAAAAAGATACTTTGGGACTGAATTCTCTCTTTGTGCCATAGATATGCAAAGCTTGGAAAAGCTTTTGAAAGATGCCATTGTTTATGGGCAGCCTCGGACAAGAAGGCCCTGGAAGAAAATCCTCATCCTTGTGGAAGGCATATACAGGTACTCATTCTCCTGTGCTTGACTATGGCCTAGGCCTGTAGTTATGTAAGCTTTCAGCCTAAGGGCTTGCTAGACTAGTCCGCTCTGGGAACTAAGGAGACCTGAGGCCAAAGATCTTTAAGTCTGTATAGTACACAGCTTCCAGATCCTTCTATAGAGGTTATTATTCTACTGTTTATGAAAAGCTTACACATAAAAGATTCTAATTTATCAAAAACAAATGTTAAAGCTAAATGTGGGGGTACATACCTGTAATTCCAGCACTCATGAGGCTGAGACGGTGAACCATCTATTGAGGCCCACCCAGAGCAAGTTACATGGCAAGACCCGAGCACAGTGGTTGCTCTCTTGTCTAGCAGAAATGAGGCCCGCAAAAAACAAACATCAAAATAAGTAAAAATAAGTTACTTTTTGTTACTATTTTTTTTAAAGGTATGTTCTCATGTAGCCTACACTGACCCTGATTCTGCCTCTGCCTCTGTCTGTTGGGTGCTGGGATTTACAGCCATATGCCCCCATGCCAGGCTATATTTTATTTTTAAGATGTTTTTCTTTTGTTAATTTGGATAGCCTATCTTAGATTTCTGCTGCTGTGATAAAGACCATGACCAAAAGCAACTTGGATATATAAGGCATATTCTAGGCCACAATCCACTGAAGGAATCCTGGGCAGGAAGTCAAGGCATGTGTAATGAATACAAAGTCTAATATTGCTTGTAATTGCAAGCTTTAGAAAACTCTTGTGGGCTGGAGATGTGGCTCAGTGGTGGAGTGCTTTCTTAGCATCTGCAAGGCTCCGACTTTAATCCCTAGCTCCACAAAAGCAAACAGAAATAATCTACTGTAACTTTAATTCTTTTGTTGTGAAATAAACCAATTATAATGTGGCACTTATCTGAGAAGTCAACCTCCTGTTTCTTGCCAAGTCCATATACCACGTAACTTAGTTTAAAACCAGAGGTGGACTTTTCAGACTTATTTTGAAAAGCAATAACCTCAAAACATTAAAAATAAAGCGACCAGTTGCTAATTTTGAAAGTTAAAAAGTCTCAGTGTGTATGTGTTTTTTTTTTTTAACCCTATTTTGCCAGCATGGAAGGATCTATTGTTCGCCTTCCTGAAGTGATTGCTCTCAAGAAGAAGTACAAGGCATACTTGTATCTGGATGAGGCACACAGCATTGGGGCGCTTGGCCCTTCAGGGCGAGGTGTGGTAGACTACTTTGGCCTAGATCCCGAGGATGTAGATGTTATGATGGGAACATTCACAAAGAGCTTCGGTGCTTCTGGAGGATACATTGGAGGCAAGAAGGTAAAACAGGCCTTTAGAGTGGCCAATTAGAGATTGGGAAAGTCTGTTGATTTGGGAACTGTCTGGTAGGTGGGGTCCTGAACTGGGATGTGGGGCTCCTGGGTGTGCTTGTGGCTCATGTTCTGCTGCTGGTGGACTTGCTACTTCAGTTGCCCAGGAGGGACTCTGATGTCTCTAGCTGAGCTGAAGCCTGGTTCTGTTCATTGTTTGTTGTTCGCTCATTTGAGCTTCTTTCTGAACTACATTCTGGTCTGAGCTATAGAACACTCTTTTGTAAAAGAGCACACAGTGGTGCTTCCTGTTTGCCACAGTCTTCTGTTGAGTTTGAGTTGTGCTCACACTTTTTCCAAGGGTTGTCACAGGAGCCAGTGGGAATGGTAGATCAGAGTGCACAAACAAGAAGAGGTTTTGTTAGTTCTAATACACTACAAAGCATCTCTTTTTCAACTTTAAAATTACATATGACCTCTAAGGCAGTTAAGAATCCATGCAAAATCGTGGCCACTATCTGCATTTGAATGTGTTTTGCCTTTGTGAGACCTTAGGGAAGGCGTTTTTTAACTTTTTAGTTTCCTTATCAGTAAAAATAAATATGGGGGGCATGTAATGTAGTAATGGTTTAAAAATGATGTGTGCCTATGATACAACACAGGTGCATTTTGCAGACATGTTAACTAAAGTGAATCACAAAAGGTCATATTATACAATGGCTTTCTTTTCTTTTTTTGGGGTGTGTTTGCTTGTTTTATCTAGAACAGGTATGGAAACAGAATGTAGATTATTTGCTGGGGCTTAAGGAGATGGGGAAATGGAAAATAACTGTTATGGATATGACGTTTCCTTGTAGGGTGATGAAGATGTTCTAAAATTAGGTAATGGTAAGGGTTACACCACCCTGACTAAGCCAAAATCCATTGAATTGTACCCTTTACAAAGGTGACTATGGTAGAATATGGCTTGTATTTCCATAAAACTGTGACTTAAAAAGAATTTGGGCCTGGCGTGTGTTCAGACCTCAATTTGATTCTCAGAAAAGAAAAACTTGTTGTAATATTAAGAAATGTATGCCAAGCACCACACTCATAAATGCTCTGAATTTCCTCTTAAAACTAAGCAGTTGGAGCCTTAAAGAATAGTCCTTCTCAGTGTATGCATTGTGGCTATTGTCATTAACTAGTGCTTGCCCTACCCTAATGGGAGAGCCCAGGGCTACCACCATGCCTGGCAAGAGAGGGAACCAACCGTATTTGCCTCTGCTGCCAACAGACACATGTTCAGCATTAACCTGCAACAGTAACAAAAGCAAGGACATTTTTATTAATCTTTAAAAACGTAACATAAAATTGTAGTTAGAGGAACCTGAAGTTTTGTAACAGAACTCTAACAACCCACAGAAGTAGCAGTAGGGAAAGAGATTTAGTTGAATTAGTTTTCTGTGGTTTCTGATGGTTCTCTAGACTCATCTGATAGAAGCTAAATATTTTTTGAAAGGACCAGGAAGCTGCTAGGGGTTTGGTTCCCTGACAGCAGCGCAGCATAGACCAGGGATCTGAGGGTCCCTGTGCCACCCCGGGTCATAAGGGAGTGCTCTGGGAGGGATGGGGTGCTGATACTGACACGAGCCAGCAGGCAGGAAGCTGAAGAACAGCAGCTAGTTCCCTCTTGATGATTTCCCTGGGTTTCACTCAGTTCAAAGAATTCCATCAGACCTTCTTGTCAAGAGTACCTACCTGCATCCAGCATTTCCAGGGGGAAACGGAATTTTGTAGTACAGTTTTCTCCGGTGGATTATGGGGCGCACACATTCTGGCCACAGTCACTTGTGTACTTTGCATTCGCCAGAGTTGGGCAATCAGACAGCCAGATGAAACCCTGGAAATTCTGATGAGTGGGATGGACCCAGCAGTTATGGACCAGTTCTACATGAAAGATGGTGTTATTGAAAAGGAAGCCACACATGAGAGGAATCTGTGACCTGATACCAGATTCTGTCCTTCCTTAATATCACATTGTTCAATACTTACGGGTATTTGGTGGATAGAATGAATTAGACTTAGATCACCCAGAAGCAGAATTTTCTCAAGTTAGCCTTGAAACAAACTTCAGTTAGACTTTGTAGGATGACCTGATCAGACGTTGTGGAAGTCTTAAGTCAGGAAAATGTTTGTGTGTTTGGTTTGGGTTTTTCAATGTGGTGGTTTCTCTGTGTAGCCCTGGCTGTCCTGGAACTCGCTCTGTAGCCCAGGCTGGGCTCGAACTCAGAGATCCGCCTGCCTCTGCCTCCCGAGTACTGGGATCAAAAGCTGCTCGCTGCCCAGCGTCAGTGCTCTCCTCTGTGTTCAGGTGTCGTGCCACGCTTGCCATGAGTTAAGTGTGTGTACAAAAGCCATCCACTGTGGTCGCATACCACTTGTGAACACTTCAGTCCGTGCTGTGCATGGGGTATCTGCAGGCAGCAGTGTCCTAACAAAACACACGGCTCCTCTCACTAGGCATGGCCTCAGGCTAACCACCTGCGATTGTTCTAGTCAGTTCTTCTAGAGTTGTCCATCCAGTTACCTCTGCGTTGTCTGACTTTCCCTGGGAAGACTTGAACGAACAGATGTGATGACAGAAGAGAGACATTCTTCTGATAATTGATTATTTTTAGAAAGACGCATTTTCAGTTGCTTCTGATCAGGCTGATAGATTTCATTATTAATTTTTACCTTTTTGTTAATGAGACAAAGTCTACTTTGGAAGTTAATTGACTTTTTTAAGTAATATATATTGCTATGAATTAAAGGATAATAAATCATATAGGGTGTTATTTCAGAATTGTTGTAACTTATTTGTGCTTTGAGGTGCAATTTTGAGAGTTTTAGAAGAACAACCTATTTCACAGTTATACTTTGTATCTCTTTGTTTGTTTTTGGTACATAGGCTACTGCTTACCCGCTTCTCTTAAGACATAGTCTCACTTTATAGCCCAGACCAGCCTTAGACTTGCAATCCTCCTGCCTCATCGCCCAGACATTACGATTATAGGCATGTCCTATCACACCCAGTAGTACACCAGATGCTTGTGCATATTTTATTTTTAAAGATTTAATCCGGGTGGTAGTGGTGCATGACTTTATTCTCAGCACTCAGGAGGCAGAAGCAGGCCAATCTCTGAATTTGAGGCCAACCTGTTCTACAGATTGAGTTCTAGGATAGTCAGAGCTATACAGAGAAACTCCATCAAAACAAAAAACAAAACAAAAAAAAGCCAGGCGGCAGTGGCACACGCCTTTAATCCCAGCACTCGGGAGGCAGAGCCAGGAGGATCTCTGTGTGTTTGAGGCCAGCCTGCTCTACAGAGTGAGATCCAGAATAGGCACCAAAACTACACAGAGGAAGGCTGTCTCAAAAAAACCAACCAAACAAAAAAAGTTAAAATGAAGATCTGGAGGGGCTGGAGAGATGGCTCAAGAGGTTAAGAGCATTGGCTGTTCTTCCAGAGGTCCTGAGTTCAATTCCCAGCAACCATATGGTGACTCACAACCATCTGTAATGAGATCTGGCGCCCTCCTCTGTATACATAATAAATAAATAAATAAATCTTAAAAAAAAAAAAATGAAGATCTGGAGAGTTGGCTTAGCTGCTAAGAGTACTCGTTGTTCTAGGAGAGATTCTGGGTTCAGCTCCCAGCACCCACATATTGATTTCCAGCAGTTCCAGAGTGGGTAGGCATCACACACACACTTGGTGCACATATACGTGTGCAGGCACAAAACTGATACATAAAATACGTCTTAAAAAATTAAAGATTTATGGGCTGGAGAGATGGCTCAGAGGTTAAGAGCACTGACTGCTCTTCCAGAGGTCCTGAGTTCAATTCCCAGCAACCACATGGTGACTCACAACCATCTGTAATGAGATCTGGTGCCCTCTTCTGGCCTGCTGTCATATATGCTGTATACATAATAAAAAAAATAAAATCTTTAAAAAAATTAAAGATTTAAATGCTATTAAGATACAGAAAGCGATCAAAACTGATATAAAATCAGTTAAGTTTTTTTTTGTTGTTGTTGTTTTTGTTTGTTTGTTTTGTTTTAAATTATCCTGAGGAGGAATATTGAGAGGGGTGGAATACTACAGATTGACCTCAGGGACCTCATACCTGCCGAATGTTGGCTCCACCACTGAGTGATGCACTCCCAGGCCAGGCAAATTGTTATTTAGGAGTATAAGGATGGACTGTGTATGTATAGAGTGAGACACAAATGACACTTAAAGGAAATCCTTCTATCAGGAAGAGCAATTCATCTTTGTATACTAATCTATAACACTAAATGATAGGTTCTTTAAATTTAGAGTAATCCTTTAAAAATGAATTTGAAAACCAAAACAAAGTCCAAGATATGGTGATATTTTAATTGTACTGAAATGTGATTTTTATTAATTATTAATGTGTGTTAATAATATAAATATTTATAATAATATAAATTTATTTATAATATAAATATTAATGTATGTTAATAAATAAAGTTGCCTGGGGGTCAGAACTAATAGCAAGCCATAGCAGAAGCTGGGCGGTGGTGGTGCATGCCTTTAATCCCAGCTCTTGGGAGGCAGAGCTAAGCAGATCTCTGTGTGTTCAAGGATACAGGCAGCATGGAGACACACGCCTTTAATTTCAATACCAACCATAGAAGACCTGGAGGTCTGTATAGACAGGCAGTGACAAGGATTGGATTTACAACCAATGAGAAGGCAGAATAGAAAGTCTATAAAAAAGACAAACAGATAGGAAGTAGCTCTCTTGCTGAGAAGGACAGAAGCGACAGTGAAGGGTAAGGTTTTTAGCTCTATTGCTTTGACCTCTTGGGCTTTCATCTTTTTGCATTGGCTCTGTGTTTCTTATTTAATAAAACGGTTACACCTACACCAAGACTGCTGTTTTTGGCTCCTTGTTGGCCAGCTGTGAGCTTTGATGGTGTTGGTTGACCTTGAGTCTCTGCTTAGCACCCTGTTCCAGCCTTTTGAATGGAAGAGTCCAGTAGCCTAGAAAGAAGACACTTGAATAACCATGCTCAGTAACTGCCTCTGAATATCTGCCTCTGCTTCTGCAGGCGCTGATAGACTATCTTCGCACACATTCTCACAGTGCTGTGTACGCCACGTCGATGTCACCACCTGTGGTGGAGCAGATCATCACCTCCATGAAGTGCATCATGGGACAGGATGGCACCAGCCTTGGTAGGTCTTTTTTGGACAGCATTTCCTTGACGTAGTAAAAACTTAGCAGCCAATTGTGCTCTTTTGGTTGAGGTTTTTCCTTAATAAGGAGTCCAATGGGCCACTGTGAGGCTTTGGTTTCCATAGCCACTTTCCAGTGTCTATGATGCACACACCTTGAGCCACATACTAGCTCCCGCCTATGGAATTTTGTTTGTTTGTTTGTTTGTTTTGAGACAAGGTTTCTCTTTGTAGCCCTGGCTGTCTTGGAGCTCTAAGTAGACCAAACTGGACTTGCACTCACACAGCTTCTGCCTCCCAAGTGCTGGGACTAAAGGTGTGTGCCACTACCACTACGTCTGATTTACACATGATGAGACTTACTTTGCTGTTCTACTGTGATTTTTAATTTAGGACATTTGCCTTCGAGGTGTTTCTTAATCACATGTTTTTATGTGGAAATGTAATTGACTACATAGTGAGGTGTGTGTCATCAATAGCATTGTTTCCAGAGTAAATGTCCTTGGTTTAAAACCTTTTTAAAGTTTCTAATTTAATGAACAATACATAAAGAAGGTCATCTTAAATCTATTTTTGTCATTGGTGGGAATGTGCATTCAAAAGAGATGCAGTTACTTAAACATATCTGAAATGAACAACAAAAGCTGTTGCCTTGTTTATTAATTTATATCACCAGAGGGCAGTGTTGACTAGTTACTATGAAAGGAGGGTAATTTGTATTTAAAGGTCTTTTCTGGGATGGGACATTGTGACACAGATCTGTAACCCTGGCACTTGGGAGGTGGAGAGAAGGTTAATTTTCCAAGGTCATCCTCAGCTGTGTCTCTTGAGGCCTAGCTCATAAACAAAAACAAAGAAAATAACAGTAGTTTTCTACCAGCAGTATGGCAGGAACCTAACTGAATTTGCTCTCTTGCTGCTTCTGAGGCGGTGTGGCTCTGGCAGATTTCACATGCTCAGCCATGGGCTCTCTACTCGGTAATACATGGTGCTATAGAAGGGCTGCAGCCTGCATTGGAGCCGGTTAAGACTTTCTGGAAGCCAAAACCAACTCTACACTTGTTCCCCTCTGTTAGTCATCCTGTTATCTCTATGGAGAGACTTGGAAATGGTGTTGTCAGCTTCAGTTTTATGAATTTGCCTGTTCAAGAAGAAAGGTAATTAATTTTGCTCTGCAGTGTCTAGGACCAGCTTAGAAGATTCCAGTGCTAGGAGGACCGAGCTGGTTGGGAACTGGGGTCATCTGTCAGCTTCTTCACTGACTGTTGGAAGGCTTGCCATACTTGCTGTGGTAACCTGAAAATTTTAAGTGATTTAGCTGAATCAAAACCTACTGTTGTTAGCCTTTCTTGCACATCATGAAAGTTGTGAGCTGGGCATTAGTCTGAGGAGGACACTATGGCAAGCATATGAGTCATATTTCAGCCCTTCCTCAGGAGAGAGTCGGCACCTGTGTGCTTAAGTTGTTTAAATGTGTTTATCTCTATTATTACACTGCTCAGCATGCCTTGTGGCATGTAGACTTGCCCATGAAGATGCAGGGGCGGGCGCCTTGGTGCAAAGGCAGCCTTTACATTCCAAGGAAATAACACACTAAGGCCTCTTGACCCTAGTGCTTGCACAAGTGGGAAGAGTGTGCATTGTACAGTGCCATTCAAAACCCATCAAGTATTCTCAGTTTTGTATGGCGTACAGCAGGTAGACAGTTATGTGGGCATTTAATAGTATTTAAATAATTGCAGGGTAGGGAAGTTTGGGATGAATCAAGGACACTGTATACTTTTTACTATTTTCTTTTTTTGTTTTTGTTTTTGTTTTTTGAGACAGAATTTCTCTGTGTAGTTTGGTGCCTATCCTGGATCTTGCTCTGTAGACCAGGCTGGCCTTGAACTCACAGAGATCCTGCCTGGCTCTGCTTCCCAAGTTCTGGAATTAAAGGCGTGCGCCACCACCGCTTGGCAATTTTTCCTGTTTTCAATAATGTCATGTAGGTTCTGCTGCCTGAAATTTTACATCCTATTATACTTGTAGGAATAGACCAGATTCTAAGAATGAGGACTGTCGGTATGATTTGTGTTTTTAAATGTTACATAAATGAGTCATGTTGAGTGTGAGGTTCCCATTCACTTATTTTCATTTTTCCAGTGTTAGAGCAGAGCAGCCTTCTTGTTCACTCTGCTGATGGATGTTAGGTTATTAGCAGCAATTCTGAGGTGGTATTAGAACTGCAGAGTGATCTTGGCTTGTTTCCACTGTGTGTTTGTAAGGTTAGCCTGGATACCTTGCAGTGAGGTTGGCAGACATCTTTAGAGACTTCTAAATTCTTTTTTTTTTTTTAAAGATTTATTTATTTATTATGTATACAGAAGAGGGTGCCAGATCTCATTGCAGATGGTTGTGAGCCACCATGTGGGTGCTGGGAATTGAACTCGGGACCTCTGGAAGAGCAGTCGGTGCTCTTAACCTCTGAGCCATCTCTCCAGCCCAAGACTTCTAAATTCTCTCCCCAGCCAAGCATACTAGCAAATGCCAGTGATCCCAGGACTTGGAAGGCTAAGGCAGGAGGATTGCTGCCAGTTCAAGGCCAGCCTGAGTTACAGAATGAAGTTGTTTCAAAAACAAAACAGTAAAAAAAAGTTATTTCCCCAGGACTTCAGTATACTCTCCCACTACTGCTACTGTATTTAATAAAGAACCAAGAGTCTGCCATAGGTTTATAAGCAGATTCTGACATTTATGTTTTTAAGCTTATGAAGATGACCAGACAAAAGAGGGATTAGAAATAGTAATATCAAACTTGGCGGTGGTGGGCACGCCTTTCATCCCAGCACTCGGGAGGCAGAGGCAGGTGGGTCTCTGTGAGTTCAAGGCCAGCCTGGTCTACAGGGGACGTTCCAGGACAGCCAAGCCTGTTGCATAGAGAAACCCTGTCTTGAAAAACCAAAAAGAAAGAAAGAGTTATATCATGCAAATTGGTGGTGACTCACGGAGGAAATGTTCTGACTCTCCCGAGGGACGGTGGGACAAGACAGAGAAAGGCTTGACACTATGGCGCTTACAACCAGAAAAGCCAGATCCAGAACAAACCCAGAACTGCTCCCTGAGAGTGAGAGTGCAGGGGCTGCGGAAGAGTCTTTTTATTTAATAATATTCTGTACTATTAAAGTTGCATGTTACCATGTGAATATTACTTTCTTAGTAGAGCTTTGAAAGAATTCATTCAGCATAATAAGTCCTGCTTAACATGAGGATCAGAGTGCTGCTCAGGAAAGCGGCAGCTGGCCAGGGAGGACGCCTTATAATTGCCGTCGTTTTTTGTGAATGGAAACGGCTGCCAGTGGCCCTCTTCCAATGGCGGTGTCGAGTTAGAACAGACTGGTGGGTAGAGAAAGTGAGACCTACAAGTTCTGAAAAGTCCACCAGACATTTGGACAGCTAGCTTGGCCGTCATACATCACTGACCATATTCTGTGGTAGATTTTAGCTCCAGGATCTTTTTATGAATCAAAATAAAAGATCCAGAAAAATCAACTAAGACATTAAACGTTTTTTCTGGAACTTCACTTGGATGATAAATAATTCATTGCTTTCTGTATAGTACATTGCTTGTGGAGTTGGATGCTACCAGTATGACCGAATAATAAAGTAAACTGCATACACACATTCAGCAGGTAGCCTCTACAATGGTTGCAGTAAAAAGCATTACTGTTTGCACTTAGTTTCTAAAGACCCTAGGTAAATTCCTTACTGATGTAGAAGAGCCGGGTAGGTTGGAGTCTAATCAAAATTAGGCCTGGCCTGTTTGAATTAATCAAGTAGAAGACATGCTAATGCAGTGTTAAATGATCCAGGGAACTTTAGGAGTTCTGATTTAGGAGTAGACACTACCCTGTCTTTGAGAAGCATCAGTATGATCCTGTAGAGAGCTGCATGCTACTCAGGACTAGCAGCTTTTGACCTGGCCCCAACACTGCCTTCCAAGTCCTGGAGTGTCTGCCTTCGCTCTTCCTGTGTTGTGTTTTAATGGAGTGTTGGGAGTAGAGTAGAAGGAGCAGAGTGCAGAAATTAGAAAAAGCGGAAAAGGCAGCATGCATTTTCTGGTGCAGTTTCGTCCTTGCCCAGAACATTGGAGCAGTTCTTCCAGTGCCGAGCTCTGGGCCTGTGACGTAATGCCTAGAGCACTGCTGTCCAGAAACGTTTGTCAGTGTTGATCAGGTTCCTGCCTCCTCCGCTGGAGTTGAACAGATGTGCTCCCTCCTTTGAAAACTGCCCTGCAGCATGGCAGGATAAGATTCCTGGAGGAACTAGTCTCAGAGTCAGAAACATTCTCCTTTGTTTACCTTACTCTTTTCTGAATTCCCTCCGTCCCCTCTCTAAACAACCTCCTTCCACACCGCATCCCCCATGAAACCATAAGTTTCCTGCAACTCGGTAAAAGTTACTTGAAGCAAACTCAGATCTAACATGCTTAATCAAACCTCAGTGAATTTTTTTCCTTGTGGAGCCTCTTGCAAATTACCATAGATGAAAGAAAAAATTCCTTTTATAAATTAGTTGCTTCATTGTCTAACACAAAAGGCCTTTTAACCAATGGCTTAAGCTTTTTAAAATCAGTAAGCATTAAGAGCACTTTACAGGTGGGGAAATTTGAGCTCACATGGGGGGCAAGTTCTTTCTGTATCTTGTTTCCAAGTAGGATGTGGCTTTCCTCAGTCCATCTGCTTCTACTTCTGATGATAGTCAGTGCTTGATTAAAACAGGCTGTTTTATGGCCTATTTCTAATTTTCTCATTTTGTTCAGCTAATTTTCCACAAAACACCTGAATTTCCTAGTGAATGGTAGCCTGACAAGTGACAGCCGCTGGATCCTGTGGCTGCCCGTCTCCTCCCGGGGACTGAGCAAGCCCTTTCCCCACTGCTCAGAAGCTGCTTGGACGCCGAGGAGCTTTGGCGGGGATGTGGTCTGTGAGCGCTGCTTTCTTCCACCCATCTCTTTTCAA